GAGTTCAAAACCCAACAGGTCGAATCAATTACTACGCCGAATGATGTATTCAAGCTAATGAGAATGGATAACCCTAGACAGGCTAGTATCCCTCCGCCACTGAACCATAATGGGACGTTGGTAACAGATCCATTAAAACGGGCCACGATCCTTCGCGACTCCCTCCTGGCACGATTTCAGGCATCAGACGACTTGTCACCATGTACAGTCGCGAGCAGCAGTCGGATACCATGGGAAGAGGACGCAACAGATGAAGAGGTCCGAGCCTGTACCATTGGTTGCGGAAATACGGCCCCAGGAGCAGACGGAGTCTCCGTAAACCTGCTGGAGGCGTGTTGGAATACAATTGGGCCTTGGATTTCCCAACTGTTCCGAGCTTGCATTCTACTTGGCATCCATCCAAAGTGTTTCAAATTAGCCGAGGTGGTCCTCCTTCAAAAGAACAATAGAGACCCAACGACAATTAAGGGTTGGAGACCAATTGCTCTTCTCTCATGCTTGGGAAAAGGGTTAGAAAGGCTCTTAGCTAAGCGGATGGCACACCTTGCAGTAATACATGATGTAGTCGGCCAGCAACAGTTTGGTGCACTGCCGAAGCGCTCAGCAACGGATCTAGTCTCATGTGTGGTCCACGACATCGAAGAGGCGAATTCACAAGGATGGGCAGCTACTTTTGTAACGTTGGACGTTCAAGGAGCATTCGACGCGGTACTCCATAATCGATTAGTGAGGAGGATGCAGGAGCAGGGATGACCGGAGTCTATTCTCAAATGGACTAGCTCCTTCCTTGCCAATCGGATGGTTCAAGTGCGATACTCTGGGGGAGTCACTGCCAAGAGAGAGCTAGTGTGCGGAGTTCCACAGGGCTCACCGATCTCGCCACTTCTCTTCCTTTTATATATGGCAGAGCCCATGCGAAGTGGCACCCCGGGTCTGAGGTTTAGCTACGCCGACGATATTTGTATCCTTGGATCTGGCCGGAAGATTGGAGAGTCTGCAGCCGCAGCACAGGACGAGGTCAATAACCTACTAGACTTGGCTCGAAATAATGCTGTCGCTTTCGATACAGACAAGTCCGAAGTCGTACAATTCCCCGGACAATACCGCAAAACATCGGTTGGAATTTATGTCAACGGAACTCTCATAGAGCCGTCGCAAAATGTCCGCTGGCTTAGTGTGTACCTCGATCCTCGACTAAACTTCAAACACCACGTCACAACCTGGTGTGGCAAAGCGTTGAAAATTGCACAGCACATGCGTCGCTTCAATACAGCCTACCGAGGACCCGCTCCTGGTGTCACAGGCTCATACCTGGTTATCATTAGGCTGCTGCCTAACAAATAAGGCTTGAACTCTTCCAATCATATTAAACATCATACATGTCACAAACCCCTCCACGACTCATTAGACCCAAGTATAGGCCTTGGCCCAGTTCATGCAAATCTATTCTTAAATGACAAATTTAGATTGCAGACAGGACGACTCGAACACCAGTCGTGAGTCATCTAAGCCACATGCATCATAACTATTTTAATAACTAAAATTACTAACATTAAAATGAAGCTGAATTAAAATAGACGGAGATGCTGGTGTTTGTCGGAGGACAGGTCATGATCTATTTTGAGAATGGTATGAAATGAGGGAACGAGATCATAGTCTTGTAAATAAATAGGAGGCTTTCAGTCATGTCTCTGCTCGTTACTTTAAGATTTTCATTTGTATCTAGCTCTGAGTTCAGTTTGAATAAAACGCCACTTTAAGACCGTCACACCTGGGGCGTTGGTTGAAGCGATCGACACATGTATTGTCCCAATCGCAACGTACGGAGCTGACGTCTGGTGGCCTGGCCTTAGACGCCCAACAATACGAGGGATGGTGAAACCGCCTACTGCTGGCCTATGTAGTATGATTGATAAGGCTGTCTTAATGGGTCTTAGGTCAGCACTACCGGTAATGAGAACAACCCCCAACGCCGTACTACATATGGAAGGAGGAATACCAACCGTGAAAGTCATTCTCGAAGGAAACCGACTTCGCCTCTCTGCCAGAATGCAAACACTTGACGACTGCCATCCGCTTAGGATCCGTGCTGCAGTTTGCCCAAATGTTGGTACGCGAAAATATAAGAAGCATAATCGAAAATCTGCGCGTCCTGAAATTCAAATGTCACGGGCTCAGCGTGCTTATAGACAGCTACCAGAGGCAGAGGTCGCGGAACCTCTTGCCCCACCATTTTATCAATCGCGGCCGGGTTCGAAGGTTGGTTCGAGAAAAGACCAAGTAGAAGCCTGTAAACTTTGGATCACTAATGTGCCAAAGTTAGAAATTTGTGCTTACTCGGACGGAGCATCGGAGGGAAAGAGACGCTCAGCTTGGGGGTTTGTCCTAAAGCTGGATGGGAAAACTTTTCAAAAAGGAAGTGGCATAAAGCACGGTGGAGAGGCTTTAGATGCAGAGATTATGGGGGCACAGGAAGCTCTTAAAGCAGCGTTGGGTCACTTAAGAGGGAAGGAGTACCTGACAAAGGGAACGACGCAGTGCATTAATGTGTTGATGGATAGTCGACATGCGATAAATGCACTGAGCACGGGCAGGTCCTCGACCAGCCACGAGGAAGTACGAAAGTTTAGCGAATTATCTGGGCTAGCTCAGGTAAGAATAACGTGGGTAGCAGGACACTCGGGGATACATGGAAATGAGGAAGCAGATGCAGCGGCCAAATCCGCCCTACGAACGCTTCCCAGCGTGGAAACTGAGCCAGCAACCACCACGAAAGCATTTTTACACCAAAAATTGCATCGACAGCGACAGACTTTGCTCGACAGCTGGTGGAATGAAACTTGCCCGTCACGGTATCGTGAGCTAGATCTGCTCATGCGCCGTCGTAAACCACCAGAACTTGGGCTTTCCAGGCTACAGTTACGATATCTCATTGCAGCCCGTACGGGCCACGGCAATTTCGCGGCGTACCATCGTCGCTTCAACAATCCGCACGCTATTACAGAGTGCATCTGTGGGGAGGAAACCACCCCTACCCACTTCATACATTGTCGACTCAACGCAAATATCACGCGTCGAATCAGAGGGTCATTGTCACACAATGCCTTCTTACACAAGCTACTCGGGCCTAAGTGCTTCGAGAGCTTCAAACAATTTGCGCAGGATACCAACTGTTTTGGGTATTCTCCTGTGCATCAATCTCCTACTCTCAGTGGAGATCGAATATAACTTGTCAGGAAACTAAAACTGACAAAATGGGAATCGAGGCGAGGAGTATTGCTTCCCATTCTAAATTATTTGCAATTTATCTTTTTCGTTTGTCAATTTTGGGAAAAGGAGTTCGCGTCGGCGCATATTTTTAACTTACTGCTGGTTATGTGGTGGTTCATGCGGTGGAATCAAGCTGGGTATGTCTTAGATGTAGTTCTGGCTGTGAACATCGGTCCTGTACTCATAGTGGATTTGGAGCTTTAGCTTAGGACTTGAATAAAACAACAACACACACACACATATAAGCTCCACTTTCTACTATGGGTATAGGACCGGTAAAGCCGGCAAGGATCACTGCGTACAGGTGTCATGTAGGAACATGATTTATTCATTAGTTGACATTGTTTAAACAATCATGCCTATATAACAACGTCATGTAGACATAATTCGTCTTTTGTACTTGTTGAATCTACCATGACAATGTCTCAGTGATAGGAGAAACATTATTGTGTAGTTATGTTACGCCATGCGCTAAGGATACTGGAGATCGCCGTCTGCCGAAGGTAGTATCTTAATAACAATGGATAATTGACACCGATGAAAGATACCTAGAGATAATTTAACCAGCGAGGTGTCAGATATTCAAAGACTGGAGAGGTGAAGGATATTCGAAAGGGCCTTGTCAAGAAGTCGAGTTGTGGAGAAATCGAAGAATTCCGATAACCTGAGATCAGTTGACGTACAAAGGGTGTAACAAGAAGTGAAATACTAAGAATATAAGATTGAAATATAATATAAATACTAGAATTTGAGATTAAAGACTATCACAATTAAAGATTGAGAAACTAGAGAGCTACTGTGTGGCAGCCCCAGCTCCCTTGATTATAATTAAAGATTCTATGAAGGAAATAATGACCCCTATTTTATTCAGATTATAGAGCGCATTGACTCAAGTAACTACCAAAGCAAAATTAAGTACAGAATCTGTAATCACATTTGTATCAACAACGTGGCCTTATTGATAGCCCCGATTATTATAAATTCTAACACTCCCCCATAGAATTATTGGGCGTATTCCTGGTATTCCTGTGTCTTTGCCTTATTAGACGTCTGCTTGAATTGGTTAGATGTCTGCTCCCAAACTGGTCCTTGCACTTCCGATGAATCAATCCAAGCTAGGTACTTTTTGGAATTGATCCATCTCCTCTCATTTTCCTCCACGTACACTGTAGAGTCCTAAGCTTATCCCGATTGACCTTTCAGGTTGTTGGCATTAACTTCAGAGACTCCCCCAGGATTTTGGCATCTAAGCGTGTTCGGATTAGGTCCTGGTCAACGATGTCTAGCCTAAGTGTGCTATGTTGCAGGCTACTGTTACAATTATTCATGGGGTCATCATCAGGGTTGTGAGTAGTTTCGGTTTTGGTGTGGGTTGTTAGATTGATACCTAAGCATGTCGCATAGTAGTCAGACATGCAACTCGAGTAGCATATGCACAGTAAACCTCAGCCCTGAACTGATGATACAAATCAAGTTTTATATGCTACGTCCTGTATGGCTAGCGTAGTTGGAATATGGGGAATTTACCTGTAGATAGATAAAGACGTTGTAGCCCTCTGATAGTTAGGACAAGTCTTCTACAATATTATATCGGAATCAATACTAGCCTCTCATTAAGCAATCTCATGAATTATTTCCAATGTCTGTGATAACAGACATACATCTACAATGTCGACAACAACTTTAAAGTCGATAAGTTATGAGCCCGGAAACTGTCGACAACAACTTCAATGTCGATAAAAGCGTCAGCCTTTCTCAGCTTTCGAATAAACTCCCCCAGTTTCCGTGCTGTGGTTGTTCTGGTGTATATTCCTTCCAAATCACTAGTGTACCATTGTCTTGTTTCTCTCTTCAAGAAACATGCCCCACTAGTATATCCCTTCCAAAGTCTTTTATCCTAAGCGTTCCGTGTGATAGCTCTCTCTTACCATCACCATACTCCACCTGGTTTTCTTTCTATCTTGCTTCGATGTTTTTGTCACCCATTATTCTTCTTCTTTTTGACTTAATCTTCTCCACGTCAATATGAACTTAATCGAAGATAGCCGTTGAGAGGGTGTTAATGTTGAACCCTTAGGCTATTGTAGAGACTTTTTGTTGTCGGACAACTTGACGAAGTTTCCTCTGATTAGATAAAGGCGAAGAATATGCGAAGGGAAGTCTTGAGGGTATAAATGACAGCTTTCGAAACGGAGCTGCTGGGTTGATGTTCGAACTGCTGTCGGAAATCAGCAGCGAAATTTTTGCAACAGCTTTCGGATAGGAACTGTCGGATTCGGGACTCGACAAGCTTCGAAAAGAGTCGAGGAATTTAAATTAACAGCGGTCGAAGAGTAGCTGTCAGACTGTGATGTTGGGAGCAGCTTTCGCACTGTCACTGCCTATTTGTGATCTCTTTTTTTTGTAATTTTTGGGTCGACTCATTTGACCCATGGGCTCTCTCGCTTAGAGTCCATCGACGGGCTGGCTACCAGTGCGTTTAGGAAGCATCAATACTCACAAGTGTTTCTCAGCAAACCCGATCTTTTTTTTTGCATCAGATTTTAATTGCTTATGCAGCTATCTAGCTATGACACAATATCAAAGAAAAGTACAGAAAAGATGACTTAATTTACAATTGGAGCACTGATGCCTCGGATTTCATTTGCAAGTACCACTGCAAAGTTATGGTGGCTTTTTCTTCACCCCAAGTCAACCCTCATCCGTGAATACCCACCCAGGGGAACGTCTCAAAAACCCTGAGTTATCCAGACATGCCTCCGTCATCCATCAACTTTTCTCCGCGCGATATGTGATCTTAGGTGTCTCTTTCCCAGGTGGAGTGGATGCCCAGGCTACTCAAACTATACCAGAGAACACCACCAGGAGGCAGATCACAACACCTTCCATCGTTAGCTTGTATTCATATTATCAGCTGCACTCTAACGACCCCGATCTTCAGTACGCGACCTGTACTCGCCCTAACGAGGGCGATAACCTCCTATTTTCTCAGGCGACGTCCATTCACTTTCCTTTCGAGGTTGCAACCCAAAGGCAATGGCCTTGTCTTGGGTTCAAGAAGGTGACAACCTCCTAGTCGGATTAATTTGGCGCAAGTAGAGCATATGCCCTTCTACTTGCCCATAACAAAGATAGTATCAAACTCCGGGCGATATAACTTGATTGCGCGAGCGACAATCCGGGCTCATAACCTATTAAGGAAATAATGACCCCTCAGTCATGGAGGTTGTAGAAGGCATTGATTTATGTAACTATCGAAGTGAAACTAAGTACAGAATCTATAGTCACTTGTGTACCAACAACGTGGCCTACTTGATAGCCCCAGTTATTCTCAATTCTAACAGTTTATGTGAAATATTTTCCGGAACAGACTTTGTTCCCATACATTTACCAATTACACGATTATTGTTCTTCAACCTCTGAATATTGTCTTAACCAGGCTTCTTTTGTTAGATTGGTGCTAATAATGCCCCCAAAAAATGGAATTTCTGTACAGTAACGACGTGCTCTGTGACAATGGGCGCACCACCAGGTCCCATAACCAACACAAAAACAGTGCATTGAGTAGTTCTTCGCTGAGTACGGCCATCGCTTAAGCCTGTCCACTGTCTCCGAGTCCTTGAGCAAGACCTTTGCAAAACTTGACGAAGCTACAAGCACTACTGGGTTACAACAGCGAGCTGGAAACTGGCCTGACCTTGAGAGTATTCTCCCGGCGTGGCGAATAAGAGTTGAACAACGAGGAGGGATCACAACTGGCGATTTGCTCCGCGAGAAGGCAAAGCGGATCTGGACACCATTGCCACAGCACGCTAACTAACCGTGCCCTGTATTCAGTGCTTTCTGGCTTGAGGATTTCAAGAAACAATACCATATTTAGAATCGGGTACAACCCGGTGAAGTTAGTTCCATTCCAGCGGCTGCAGAAGCCGAAATAGAAGCTTTACAGACAATTGCAGGAGAATTTGAGGAAGAAAACATAATTAATATGGACGAGTCAGGTCTCTTTTGGAAAATGCTACTTTCATGTGGACTATTGTTGCAATCTCAACGTGGGCTCAAGAAAAACAAGGACCGAGTTTCTCTCTGTTTCAGTACAAATGCTAGAGGTTCTGACCGACTTCCCATTTGGATTATTGGCAAATATAAGACGCCTCTGGCCTTGAAAAAAGTTAGTATTCAGACAATGGGTGGCAAGTAGAGGTGGAATTCAAAAGAATGGATGAACACAGCAATTATGGGTGAATGGCTTCAAGAATTCTATTGCCACATTGGAAATGCCCGAGATGTACTCTTCACAGTTGTCACGGTTTCAGTACAAAATGCTTGGGTGATCTTGTAAGTGTTGTAATGAAGGGAGTATCATGGCTGCATTACAATAAACAGTTCACATTAGAATAATGTGCACATGCGCCATGGGATATGATTGACCTAAATCATCACTCATTGGTATGACATAGTATTTCCCAATAGATTCCTAATGGTATCTATTGGCGCTAGGATCTCTCACATCCTTTCTTTCTCGCTTAGACAAGGAAATATGTTGGAACATCCAATAGTGTGCAGAACCCCCTTATTCATGTATATAGAAGAAATTCCTGTCACGTAGGTAACTTGAGCAATTCATACAATAGGAAATTCAAACAATCTCCATATTATTCATGCACTTAAGAATAATAGGGAATATCCTCAAGTTCGTCCATTGATCCAAGTCCTAATAGTATAATTCACGAACTTAACTCCTCTTAAAGTCATAGCTACCTCTTTCCATACCTTCATCCTAACGGTACGTCATTCCAGCTCAGCATAGCCTTTCAATTCGATGATGAGTCGCGGAGATGGCGCGCCCACGCTGGGCGATGGCACGATGGATACTGAGTGCGTATCACTGTGGCCAAATTGGTGTCAGTAGGTATCAAATGTGAACTCTTACTGACAATGGTGATCTATGAAGGTGATACTAGTGTAACGGCTGGTAAGCCGATTGGTCCCTGTAGCATATGTTGGTTAACTTAGGCCTGGTTCAAATGGCATTATTAATGACTACCAATGCGCTGATGTGCGACGGCACCCAAATTATTACTTTTGCGTCGGCATTTGCATGGTGTGTGTTTGTGTTTGTGTTGATTGTGCTACTTGAATTTGAATTTGAATTTGAAATCTTTTACATGACAGGTAGAACCTAACATCTATTTAGACGTGACACGGGTAGATGGGCTCTGAAAGCTCATTGCTACCTTAATGACTGGCAGTGGGGCCAGAAGCGACAAAAGAAAAGAGGGAAAAAAAAAAGAACAGTATGTGTCTGAGTTATGGTGCCCTGCGCCGCATCCCTATCTTCCACACCCATCTACTCTCGGGTCAGAAACAATCTCAGCGTGGTCATCTCCCACCCTGTTCATTCTTTGGCAGACTGTAACATCGGCTTGTAGTTAAGAATCGAATGAACTTCTGCCATCCCTTCTCCCCTATTATTTCCCTGGCCCCAGGTGGGGCCATTTTCTCATAGATTCTCCAATGTAGCAGAGCAGGTCGGCACTCTAAAAAATGCCAGGGCCTTTTCTCTCGGCCGCAAACGCATTTCAGATCTTCATGTTCGGGGTTGAAAAGTCGATGGTAGTTGGCTTAGTCCCCGTGGCCTGTTCTTGCCGAAATAAGACGATGGTACGCCCATCTTGGTAAAGCTAGTTCCGGTGGTCTTTTGCAACGCATGAATAGGTCCAGATCTTTGTATTGTTTCGGTCAATACTTCTGCCACCATTCTTCCACGAGCTCTTAGCTGCGCTGTTTAACCCACCTCCTTAATGCCGCAAAGGTTAGATCTTGATCTTCTCCACTGGGCGCAGCTGAGGTTAGTGACCGGCTATTGGAGGCTCCCAAGGCTGATTTGGCCAGCTTATCGGCCTCTTCATTGCCTTGAATCCCCACATGCCCGGGTATCCAGCGTATTTCCACACGCTTATTGTGTCTCAGCGATGAAACTTGTCCACCACTGACTGCGAGGAGTTAGATCTTCCTCTTTCGAGCGCCTGGGTGGCCGCTTGGTTTTCCAGAAGAATGCAGATCAGTAAGTCTTTTCCTACCTCTATTGCAGCCTTCAAGGCTTTCATGGCACCTACAACTTCTGCATCGAATACCTCTGCTCCGGGAAGTGGACCGGAGCCACTTGCAACTAGCCTGCCTCCTTGGTATACTACATACCCCCAGGATGATTTTCCGGGACCCGATGATGATCCATCAGAGAAAGCGAAGACTGTGTTAGCTGGGCGGGAAGCTAACCACCGCTTTATGCTTCCAGACCTAGCTTCATTTTCTCGACTACATGGAATCAATGCTGGAGTGCCACGTGGGAAGTATAGCTTTCCGGGGCCTTCGGCTGTCGGAACTCGACGCACACTCATTTGTAGGCGTGTCATGTACCGTTTTGGTTGTCTGAACAATCGATCTCTTTGTCCCGATCTAAGACCTAAGCGTCTTATTGTTGTTGTGGTTATGAGCTGTGAGGTATATAGCAATTATGTCTCTGCTGTCCGTCGGTGAATTTACACGGGCTCATGTGCAATGGTGAGTCGCGGAGATGGCGCGCTCACGCTGGGTGATGGCACGATAGACACTGAGTGCGTATCACTGTGGCCAAATGGATGTCAGTAGGTATCAAATGTGAACTCTTACTGACAATGGTGATCTATGAAGGTGATGCTAGATGTGCATCCCGACGATTGATAATATCATCTAATGGATGATGTGAAGTATGATATCATATGGATAGATTCATGCACTAAACTCGGCAGGTGAAGAGATTGTATAGTACATGAACAGCGTCTGTGCACCAGCCTGTATTTTCCACCCTTTCCTAATCCAGCAGCCCATCCTCCGTTCCCCTGTCTCCTAACAACTCAAC